TCGCTCTTCTCAGAACTGATTCTTGAGCTGAAATGTTTTTTTACAATGTGATAATCTAAATGGTACACCATATTCTAAATCAGACCTTCCTAGTGGATTTAACAATTTAGCAATCCTTGATTTAGATTCTATACTTATATATTTAATATGTGTAATATATACAGTATTGATGGAAAAAAGAAACGCAACACTCTTTGCTGGACTGAAATTTCAACCTTCAATGCTGAAATAACAATAAACAAATGAGAATAATAGGAAAACAATAACAACTGTGAACATTAACAACAGTTGTCTTGCAGTGCTTCATTATCTTGTGTGACCACCTCTTGTAGCCACCACTGCTTGACAACTCTGGCACATAGAGCCAATGAGCCTCCGAACCTGCAGTTGTGGGATGTTATACCATTCCTGCAGAAGGGCCTGGCGAAGTTGCAGGCAAAGGGTCACATCTCCAGATGGTGCGATCCAGATCCTGAAGGTGCTCCATGGGGTTAAGGTCAGAAGAGAAGGCAGGCATCACCTGCACACCAGCATTCCTTAGGGCAGTTGTGAACACAGCAGCTGTGTGTGGCCTGGCATTGTCCTGCAGTAGGGCCAGGTCATGTTGCCTCACGTGCTGCACAATCTCATCCCTATAACGCACCCTGTTCAGCCTGCCCTCAATGAAGTGGAGCTGCGTCCAGCCTGTACGGTGAATGCCAGCCCTCATTATTACTCTAGTTCCACCCCAGGGGTCCTGGACAGAGGCATCAGCATACTCTCCTATCCTCCTCCACACTCTGGCCCTCCTGTCTGTGAGGAACAGGCTGAAGAGTGACTCATCCGTGAAGAAGACCTGATGCCACTGCTGACGAGGCCATCACAGCCTCTGTCTGGCCCAAGCCAGTCAGGTGTGTTGTCTAGGAGGTGTGAGCAGAGGGCCTCTGACAGGTCGCCTTGCTCTAAGGCCATCAGCATGGAGCCTCACTGTCCTGTCACTGATGTGGGCATTATGTCTGCCGGCAGTTTCTCCAGCAGTACGAGTGGCAGATCTGAAACAATCTCTCAGATGGACTAGTCTGATGTGCCACTCCTGCTCTGGTGTGGTCACTCAAGGGCGTCCGGATCTTGGACGGGCTTCTGTCCTGCCGGTCTGCTGAAACCTTCTCACAGCAGAGTGGCTTACTCCATAGTGTCTGGCAATGCTGGCACATGACATGCCTGCCTGCAGCATGCCGTCGGGCCTCTCCCTTGCTTCTTGTGATATTCAAGGCATTATGGAATGCACAGAAAACTGACTAACTAAGTGTGGCCTTTTTCTTGCAGTGACCTAAGCTTTGAATTAAGTCTTTTTCAAAGGTGACCTGATCAGGCATTGTTCCACCTGGACCTCGTTGGGTAAAAGTGCACCTAACGAGCTTTCTTGTGATTGGCAAGTTGCAGTGCCTCACTGCACAAGCTGTATTGCTGGTCAGAGGGCTTAAAAAAAATTACAACATTTTGTGAAGGTACATAAGCTATAATTCTAGTATTTTCATTCCAGAAAATGTGTTTCTTTTTTCCATCCGTATGTATTTAAATATCCAAACACTGTTTGTCCATATATTTATTTTTTATTCACTACATTCACTACATGTTCTAGAAATGTAGAGATGTTCTTCCCATGAAAACCACTCCCAATCAGCATTTTACTGATGGTGGAGGCATGAACACAGACCTTAGTTGCAATGAAAAAGGCTTGCATATCTGGAGATGTTCCTCTCGATCTTTGGGACTCCCTGGCTAATTTCCCAGGTTGCTCTTGGGGGATCTTTACTGGACAGTGGAGAGATGGAGCCACAAATGTTTACAAATGGTTTTGTAACCCTCTGCAGACTTATAAGCATGAACTACTCATTTTCTGAGGTCCTATGAAATCTCTTGATTATGTGGTTCCACTAATCTGTATGGTCAGAACAAACTCTTACCCATATAACAGACAGGTAGGCCTAAGCTCTTTACTTTGTTTACTTGTTACACAGATATTTATCTACCTTATTCCAATTAGCTGCTTAATTGTTTTATGTAAACTAGGGATTCACTTATTATTTCACATTCATTGATTCTTAATTATTCATTTTTTCTACTTCATACTCCACTGTGTATAAAAAAAACTGTTTTAAATATAAAAATTTGTGAATATTTAAGTAAAGACTGGTTTGAATTCGACAGATGTATAATAAACTTTTCACAATGCTATATCTTGGTGTTTCTCACTGTATTCATACAGTAGTTTATTTTTGTTCCCCACATAAAAGACTCAACTTTGCCATCTGCTACTGTAGGTTTTTGCACACTTGAATTTTTTCTCAATCTTTTTGAATTTCTTTTGCATAATTTCAAATCATCTGCAGATTTGACTATTGTACTAATCTACACCAGATCCTAGTCTGATTTTACACTTGTTGCCAGTTGTTAAAAACACGTGACCCATAAGTTCAGCTAGAACTCTCCAGGACCATTGATGGAGACCCCTGTATTTAAAGATATTAAGCCCCTTATTATATCATACTTTTTCCTTGTTCATAACCAATTCTCAATCCATGTGTTGTCTGCTTTACCTTGGATATCTATGGTTTGTAATTTGAAGATTAATCTTTTATGAAGGATCTCATCAAAAACTTTCTAAAATCATGTGGCTTAAAAATCTCTTAAAATGTCATGATTTTGCAAGTTATATTCTAGTTTAGCTTTAACTGTCAGTTTCACACCTTTACCAGTAACAGAGGTAAGACCAATTAGCCTGTTGTTGGTTCAGTTTTGTGCCCATTTGTTTTTAAATTTGTAACCCTCCAATCTGAAAGTACAGCTCTCATCCTCAGTGTGAACTGAACTATCTTCATTAAAGATCTATGAATAACATCAGCATCTGTCATTTTAGCCTTATAACTGTACTGTAGTTCCACAGTTCTGGGTATGAAATAGAGTAATTGCTGCTTTGCATGCTGCATCACAAGGCAGGTGAGGGTTAGGGTTGGGGTTGAAGTTCACATGTACCCCACAACACATGTATAAATCTTCCTGCTTCATTCATGAGGATTGGCTGGAAACATTCTGTTTTTCTATTTCCCAAATGATTCCGTTTCTTGTTTCTGATTTTGCTGGGTCAATGTAGTTGTTCTTCTTCAGTTTACAGTGTTGGCAGCGTCAAACATAACTTCAAATCTGAAGTTATGTCATGTTGATGCACTATGTCATGTTGATTTTGAATGGTGCTTGCATGTAAATTCTTGCTTCAGTAAATTTAGTAAATTTAGATTAATTGAATCAGATTCTTCTGCACAAGTCCAGATACAAGACATGACTGATGAGTTAGGCAGAATGCATAATGCATTATCACCTTTGTGGCCTGGTCTTTTTGGATCTCAGAATATTAAGAAAACCCAGGCCTGGGTAGAAGTGGAACGGAAGACCAAGGGTTGGTAGACCAGTAGGTGGTGCTCTTCCTATTGGGACCCAAACCCCAATGTCATATGTATGATTATATAGCTGTAGGAGGTTCCTTCCTTAAAATAACATCATAAACTGAGGTCCTGTCTACTTGGTCAATAAAGATCCTCTAGCACTTTCTTGTGAGAGATGTTAAACCTGGTGTCCTGGCAGAATTCCACTCTGGGATTGCACGATTTGGCCCTTAATTCAATTGGTGAAGCAATTTCTCACTTCACCTGATCTGCTGTGCAGTGGGGCTGCTGGTGCAGAAGGATAGCCATATGTCATCCAGGTGGGGCTGCATTTCAGTGGTGGATAAAGTCGGTATTCCCCTGTCTGTGAAGCCCTTTGGGATAAAAAGTGCTAATAAGTATAGTTATTATTAGCCAAATTTAGAGGCAGCTAGAGAAATAATAAAGAATGAGTGTCTACCAATGAGCGAAAATGTATGGGTCAGGTGTTACTGTCATGCAGTTGCTCTTGATTTAGAATAAAAAGGGGGCATACACATGGTTTCTGAGAGCCTGTGTAGTTCTCCATGAAATAAGTCTAAGGGTTTGTTGATTTTACTTCCCATACTGGAAGCTCACAGTGCTGTTGAACACCATTGGTGTTACCCTCATGCTTGTGGGATGGGCTTCTTGGAAATATAGGAACATGTTTTTCGAAAGCAGAGTGGCTTTTTTTTAATTAACTGCCCAAGCTGATGACTGAATTGCTTGTGCTGATGCAACCTTCCCACCAGAGGGTATTCTGATCTTGTCTGTTGCCTTTCCAGTGTCCAGTGGAACAGGCAGAAACACCTGGCTTGAGGTGTAGTGACAATGTACTGTATCTTTTCTTCATTACCTTCTGGGGAAGTATGAACAGTGTTTTCAGTGGCTGAACATGTATAACATTTTTTTTAAGATAGTTTGGTATTATGTTCAGTTGTGTATGTGGTCTTTAATTGAAGATACTATATCGTGCATTGCAAAACAGAGATATTCCAACAGGAAGTGCTGAACATGATTCTACAGAAAAACAAGTGGGAAAACTGTAAATATGCTTATATCTTTCTAAGAGCACAGTTTGATGAAGGTTTGTTATGATTTTTGATTTGTTCTGAAAAAGACCATTTTATCTGGAAAGCACCCATGAAGACACATACAAGATGTATCCCTCATGGTGCTCTGAATCAAAGTGGTTTTTCAGGAAGGTTTTATAGTCTATGTACTGTGTAATCTGCAGTCTATAGAGTACAGCTCTGGTTACTTTCTTTTGCTACCATGAATGAGTATTTTACTGTATAGAGCTGATCATCACAACATGCATTAGAACTATAAAAAATATTTCCACACATAACACAATGGCCTGCCACAATGGTTATTCCTGCAATTTAGATCGCACTCAGGTCAGTTCAGGAATGAACCCAAGCCAGGTCAGGTCCTTCATCGGCGTTGCACTGGGGAAGGGTGTCGGTGTTCTGCGATCGGTGAGTGTGTCATTAGAATGGTGTGTAAGGGAACAAGAGCAGTCTAACAGCCTTCCCCTTGCGTTTGTCTCTGCAGTGCTGGAGATTGACTTCTCTGAGCTGGCCCTGGAGGAGATCATCGGTGTGGGGGGATTCGGGAAGGTGTACCGGGCTCTGTGGCGCGGCTTGGAGGTTGCGGTGAAGGCGGCAAGGCGGGACCCTGACGAGGAAGTGGGCCAGACGCTGGAGAGCGTGCGGCAGGAGGCCAAGCTGTTCGCCATGCTGCGCCACCCCAACATCATGGGCCTGGTGGGCGTCTGCCTGCTGGAGCCCAACCTGTGCTTGGTGATGGAGTTCGCCCGTGGCGGATCGCTCAATCGGGTGCTGTCTGGCAAGAGGATCCCCCCTCACATGCTGGTGGACTGGGCAGTGCAGATCGCCAGTGGCATGCATTACCTCCACTGCCAGGCGATCGTGCCCATCATCCACCGCGACCTCAAGTCCAGCAACAGTAAGCTCTGCTTCCTTTCCCTTCTCGTGGTCTGACCGGGTATAAAGCAGGGGCTGTGCAAAATGGATGTTTTTGTCTCTTCGTTGACCGAGGTGTTTGAATTTTAAATTGAGACCGGCTGCCGACATTGATAATTGATGAGTCGGCACATTTTAAGTATAGGAATGAAACAAATCTTCTCCAGGCACCAAAGAGCACTTACGTTCCAGTTGTGTTGATCTCATTAGCAATTAGTCACTTAAGTTGCAAATCCAAGAGCAGCCTGCTCTTTCACTCACAGGAACTGCAATGTCTATTATTTCTCTAGTTGAAGGATATCTTAATAATCAAATACTAGATTAGTGCAACTCTGGGACAAGGTAAGTCTTAACACGGTGTGAAGAATAAATTGAGCTGAGACAAATGGGGTTAAAAAGCAGAGGATACACATTTTTTGTTCCTTGCTGTGCAAATGGAATGTTTTGTCTAAGCTTTGAAGTCAGTAACATAAAGATGCTCATGAATTCAGTGGGCCAGTGATCCTTGAAGTGGATCTTTGGGGCGTCCCTGAAACAGAGGGAGGATTGGAACTTGGCACCTTTAAAAAAGACTGGAGAAGTCAGAAATTCTCCACCAAGTGACACTTGAAACTCATCCTGTCTTTCTTCAGGGAGTTGCAGCAGGAAAGGGCCGGGAAAAATAAACAAAGCAAAATAACACCTTTAAAACAGTGCAAGGAAGAAACTGTGATGAGACAGAGAAGTGATTGTAATTTCATTTGTTCTATAGAAGCAAGACCATTTATGATATCAGTATTTAGAAAATGCGTGCTGATTATTATTATAATTTAATAATAATAGGTGCTCACTGGCTTAGTTTTCCAAGCAGCATGCCTTTGAGTGCTTTTCCCACATGAGTGATTATTAAGAAAATAACTGGGATCATTACCCACAACTCTGAAAAATCAGAAAAAATCAATAGTTTTCATGAAGGACACACGAAAATCAAATCGGAAATCATGAAACAAGAGTGAAATGCACTTCAACTGTTTAATGCAAATGAAAAAACAATATGATTCACACTTTGTTATTAAACAGCTATAGCAAAACACCAAAGTTCATTAAGTAATACAGCTAAACTGAAATCTGTTTTTTGGGAACCTCCACCTACAGTACTTGTTTTCAAATCTGTTTGTCTCAAGTTAAAGTTTGGCCATTGAAAGGGTCAACTGAAGTATAAGCAGTGCTTTACATTATTCTGTAGAGATGTGTCATCAACAGAATTTAAAAATGTATTATTTCTAGATGAGCCCCAGAGTGCAAAATGTGCTGCACGTATTTTACCTTGATCTCTAATATAGAGTGGCAGGAATAATGAGATGTGAGACATTGCTAAGTGATAGATTCTGATCATTCTGAGTGTTGTCTTCATAATTGGACTGTGAGTGCGCTGTGACTGAGTTTGGTCATGGGCGTCTGGAGCTGCTAATGAGACACAGAGAAACTCTCTGGCACATAGACACCTGCACTGATGTACACTCCCCATTAGAAAGAAAGAAGGTCATTCAGCAAACCTGGCCTGTGTTGTTGTCCTCCTCATTTGTTCTCAGGCTTCAGAGGCAGAGACATCAGACGGTAAATAAGGTCTTCTGGTAGTTGAACAGGCATATGGTGTGTGATATTAGACTGCAATCTTCAACAGAAGCACAGGGGAACTCCTGCAGAGTTCCTTATTTAGGTACTGTTGGATGAGATGAATGCAGAGATAAAATTATTATTTTACAGTATTAAATGTCTGGTTTATATTCAATTAAACCCATGCTAAAGTATTGAAAAAGGACATTAACATGTTTTGGCCAATGGCGCTGGAATCAGTTTGTGATGGTTATGTAGGCCTGATCAACAAATGTTCTTGAATAATATTAAATATTCTTTTATACGGGTGTGTTGGTTTTTTCAGAAAAGTGATCTCTACAACATTAAGTAGCACTTGTTTCCGTGCATGAAAGTTCCAGTAAAACCTATTGAGACTGTATATGACCTTTGTCTCCAGCAGAATCCAGGAACCCAGTGAGAGCACCTGCTTGTGAGGAGTGAGAGCAGTGTGTTTTTTATTAAAGCTGACTCATGGTAGTAGAATCAAGGGAAAGTCGTGCATTTCAACTCTGTATTTCGGTAGTTATCTGCATTTACTTTAAATCATGGAAAAATAAAGCCCAAGTGGTGTTGGAGAAAGCAAAAAGAAAACAAAAGAAAAATGTGAACTGGAGATGTTTTTAGTTATGTTCTCTGTCATTTAGCAGATACAACAGTGGAAGTCACGGCAGAAACAAAAAGTATTTTGAACCCAATCAATGTAAATATTTTGAGATGATATGAATACAATTTTTAAAGTGAGCTTCTGCCTGCTGTCCTAGAGATAGTAATCCTGATTATGCAGCCACATGTTCATTTGAAGTAATTTCCCAGGATTCCACTTCCTGTGAGCTAGCTGTGTCAGCCCCAGGTTATGGGCTGTGTTGTTTGGCTCAGTGCTCAGCCAAATTGCCAAGTGGCCTGTGTGTGAGGGGGGCTGGTAATCCTGTCTTTCATTGCATTTGCCCTGCTGCACCTCTTAAACCCCAAGCCTATTAGAAGGATTTTAGCCCCTGCTGAAGAAGCCAGCAGGCATTGGCCCACGCTTAGTGCTTAGCACGTTGTCCCTGCTTACATCACCTGCTCTGCAGGCAGCAGGGCCCAGTCACGCTCCCCTGTGCTCCTGTCCTTGAAGTGTGTGTGGGACCCCATCCTGTGGGCAACATGCCACAAAACAAGGCAACTACAGCTCTTTCTCCTTCTCTCTGCTTGTGTATAGGACGGATTTGCCAGTCCTGGTATACAGTTCAGTAGAGCTGCCGTTTAGAATTCTAACATACTGTAGTTCAAAAGAGAGGTATCTCTATCATGACATTCCATTTTTTTTTTGGCAAGCAGAATACTCATACAGTGTTTGTTTTGTTTTTTTTGGGGGGGGGCAGGTACCATCATGTACTGTACCTTAATTTAATCTAGAACTGCAGTTTCTACTTGCTCAGTGCTCCGTGCTCGCTAGCCTTTGACTTGTGCGGTCGTCCAACGGGACTTGGCAGTGATTGTGTCTCGCAAGCACTTGCACTCTAGCAACGCTCAGCCTTTACTATCCCTTGACACCCCTCCCCCCAGGCACCCTTGTACTCTTACTGAAGTGTTAATCCACTTGTCCTGCTTCCCGGCAGTGTCAGCAATAGGTTTCATTCTTGCATACTGTAGGTGACACTGCTCACTTTAACTAGCTGTCTCTCCTGCCTGCAATAAGCCCTCAGTGCTCTTCCCACTGGATCAAGCTAGTGGTCACTTATTAGTAGAGGTTCACTTACTGTATCCTAGACGTTTTGCCTTATTCAGATCCTGCCATCGATCCATTTCCCTTCATTCCAGGATTGCTCCTTGAACTGAGGCAGAACGGAAGCTTCTGCATAACCAGAATGCTGGTATGAATCAAGAAGAAACTGCAAAATGAAAGAGGTTGCCCCCTTTCTGTCCTGGGGTTCTCTGTCACCTCAGGAAAGACTGTTTGGCAATGTAGTCCAATTTTCTGTCTTTTTTGTGCTCCAATGGAAATAAGCACAGAGAATGGTTGCAGAGGGGTCTGAAGCAGCTGCCATTTAATGTATGACAGGAATTTGTCTTTTCGCTTACCCCAGCTTGCCCTCTATGAGACGCACAGATGAGGAAAGAGAAGCTTGGGGTCAGAGCGCAGGGTCAGTCATTTATATGGTGTCCCAGGAGCAGTTTGGGTTAAGGGCCTTGCTCAGGGGCCCAACAGAATAGGATTCCTCTGCCGGCCGCGGGATTTGAACCGGCAACCTTAGCCACAGTGACACTGCGCCGCAACCTATATCTGGAATTACTGGGAATATTTCTGCTTTTTATGGCTTATTTTTATGAGGTTGTTATCTGTTTGTGTTGCCATTGATTTAGTCAGCGGTCAGTTTGCTGAATAAGTAAATGGTATCTCCTTTTACGTTCTGTTTTTGGTTTTGTGTGCGAATGTATGGTAAATGAATGCTGGTGATAATTCAGAGACTCACATATTCAGTAGACTTGATACACAAATTTACATGGCGGGCACGTGCTCATCGGATTAGGTCGAGTGAAGTTTGTCACCACTTTTAAGGGCCCAATATGCAAATATTTTAATCCCAAGACATTTATTGAAACATGGGAAGAATTGACATAAGTGGAAAATCAGTATCAGGGTTCAGAATAACAGCATTTGTTGCTGTGCATGTTTAATATGACAATATTATAGAAAGGGTCAGTGAGCTTCCTTCTTTTAAGACGATGCTCACCTGGGAAATATCACTTTTTAAACTTACTCTTTGCACGCAATTTTGTCTCAGGATATGAAATACTGCATAAACTCCTGAGCCTCTGTGGCATCAGTTCTGGGTATTTTGTAAGAAGTACTTTCGAATTTCTGTTCTTCATTCTTTTGAATTAAATTACCATGACTGTTCGGTGTGTATGATTGGTTTTAATGTAAAGCGCTTGGTGAAAGTTATTTTGTCTCGATATGCTCTATGGTGAAATAAACTTTGCTTGAGTGATCAGCATCATTGTGAAAAATAGTGGAGACTCAGAGATAACATTGTAGAGTCTGAAGTCAACTGCTTTTTAGTCTCATTGTCTTCTTCTGGCTTGTGATGGTTCTTTTTTAGGTTTCAATGATTTGAGTACATTAGCAACCAAAACCGTGGCACAGTGGGTAGCATTGCTGTCTCACAACACTGGGGCCCTGGGTTCAACTTCAGACCTGGAGTACCATCTGTGTGGAGTTTGCATGTCCTCCCCAGGTTCACATGGGTGTTCTCCAGATGCTCTAGTTTTCTCCCACAGTCCAAAGGCATGCTGGTAGGTTAATGGGCTTCTGGGAACATTGGCCCTGATGTGAGTGTGTGTGGTTGTGTCTGCCCTATGATGGACTGGTGTCCTCTCCAGGTT